ATTCAATCCAAGCAACTCTTGCGAGAGGATGCGGGGTCCACATCGGCAACCTCGGCCGGAGCTCTCCCGCGAGGGTGCGGTGATTCCTGAGTCGGGGAATAAACTTTTGGGCTTTGAGGTAAATGTAATACAGTACAAGACCAGGACCGGCGAGAAGCACCAAGGCAGGGGAAGGAAGCACCGCAGCTCGGGTCGGTGCGTGCGCTCGCCGGGGAGTTGGTTACGCAGTGGGTGGCCGGGGTGCTGGCTGGCTGAGTACGGTGTGTTGGTTCGAGGTTCGGCGGGTTCGGTGGTGGAACGAAGAAACGACGGCTTGATGACGGAGGGTGCTGCGCGTGATTGCTAATGGCCGACGGATCAAGGTTCTTACTTTACCGCCTCAATCAAACCTCAATCGTTCTCCAGCCAGTCGCCAATTTGTCGCCAATGCTTCGGACCTCCTTTCAAGGATTGACCAAAGAGATAAATACGGCGCCAATGACTACATATATTTCCTAGGTTTAAAATTATCGGGCTGCGACCTCTGCGGGCACTCCGGCGGAGTCCGGCCCTGACTCCGAACAAATTGAAGATACCAAAGCAACTGCAAGTCGTACTATACTTCTGGCTTCACGTACGACTCGGGGGGGGTACCTTTCGCTCCGGCGTGGAGATTATCCCCTTGTGAGTAGATTCAGCTTGAGTGCATTGATGCGGACAAGATGCGGAAGTATTAATGTTCATAGTCCCTCAAACTGAGCCCCTCACGACCATTGGGCTCTCGGATTTTTGAACAGCTTCCGGGCCAGCCAGGCAGGGCCCGAAATTTCCCCCCAAATTTCGAGGTCCAGAACTGATACGTGTAGCTCAGACGGCCGTAACGCGAAGCTTAACCAGCGCTGTATGCATCATGCATGATCAGGCAAGTTCAGTGCCCCTTTGCTCGTTGAATCTCGATGTGGCAAGGACTGAGTATTCAGACGAGGCATTACCGATACATTGGCCTCCAAGTTATGGCGATTTCTACCCCGTTCGACTGCTGAATCATTCACACAACTCAACAACTTATTCGATGCAGCTATGCGCCATTCATATTACCTATAGCTTGGCTCCCCACAGTATAGAAATCATGGGGTTGAAAAAACCGAAACCGGTAGGCGATGGCAGCTCTTATTTCGACATTCGATCACTCCTTAAATTCCTAAGCGACAGAGAGTGGTATCAACGGCAGGAGCAAACTTTTTCCTGTTCATTTATGTGGTCCTTGTGCGCGCATGATATTGTGAACCTCGACGTCTTTGAGGGCTCCAAAATATGCACCATGTATAGAGCGGTATATTTATTCTGCTAAACAAGGAATTCGATAGGAATGTTGGGGAAACCAACAGCGGGCTGTCGAGCTTATATCCTACTCGCGCCTCTTATGCGTGCTCTTTCCGATTTTCGATCATGGGTAAATTCGCTGGCTGAGCTCACGATAACACGAACTAAGACTACCTCCAATTGTGTGTGACTCGCCGACGACTAGTAGCTGTTTTGAGTATGATCACGATATTCATGATCTCAGATGCCCGTGAAAACCGCGTGGGCCCGCGAATCCTAGGCGACTTAATTAGGTAGTGCTAAACGTTATCAGAGACTAGTTGGGATGGTGGATGCGAGCAGGAGCTCTAGTTAATGAACTTCACGGCGGTGATCAAATAGTTTTACCGCAGGAAAATGGGCCTAGAACTAGGATATCTAGTTACCGCGGGAAACTTTTACCTAGGGAAAAAATAAAGCAAAATTAATACCGATGTTTCTCCGGGAAAAGGGGGTACTTTTACCGCAGGCAAGTCGAGGGAAAAAGTTGAACTGTGCTTGGAATTTGAGAGATCCTAGCGCGCAAGCACCTTGAGCGTTGCACTTGAATGTCCCCATCTTTGTGGGGTCTAACATCTGCCTAGTCCTCTGAAAATAAGATTTGAAGCTTACGAACAGGTTTTGATGATCGCCGGTGAGAGCAGTAGCTCGACCAACGCTCGGCTCCGCGGTCCAGTGGCGCAGCCGTAGAACATTCCACGCGAGCCGTCACCATCGATTGGAGGGCAATTGAATTGCAACAGGCTTCTTTTTCTATTACACCGACCCAGATTCTGTGGCGCGCCTTGCATTCAGCGACGGGGATTCTAAGGAGCACGAAAATTTGTGGCGTCGGCATGCGATTCACGCGTGGGATCGCTCGTCTGTGTTCAATGCCATGCTCTGGCGCCGAGTAGAAATGAAAAGAGTGAGGGAGTAATTCTATGTAGAAAGAAGGAAGTCATTGGAAATTCGATAGAGTAGGGCGTGGGTAGAGCAGGGGCTCGATGGGAATATTTTGGGAACATTCATCCGACGACAAGCAGAGCCGACGGTCCAGGAGCGCAGAATCGGAAAACGAAGGCACTATGGAGCAGTAAATTCGTCTGATCCAGCCAGCGTGCAGCGGGGAAAAAGCATTGAACAGAGCGCCACAAGAATCCAGTATCGTGATCCCTAGAAGTCTTATACACGCCACGTTGATAGCCATGCATGCCGTTATCCAAAGAACGTGAACAACGGAGGTTAATACTTAAAACTCTAAATCCTATTACTTATGCTTTCCATGGCCAAACGAGGACGCGAGGACTCCACCCACGATTTGAAAGGCGTGGGGCCAAAGGTAGGTAGAGTAATAACGGGGACGGTTGAGAATGGCGAGGGGCTGGGTACTTCGCGCCTGTGCTTTTTTCAGCGAACTGAGGTGAACGGGAATGAAGAGGTTACCAGGGCAGTTCAGGTACGAGCTGTCGATGTCAGCACTCCGCTTAAAATTCGCCACGCTGCGCCCGGCCAATGAGGGACCTCAGGGGACCCCGTAAAATCGATGATTTAGATTGCCTCGGGCGGCGCTGGGACTGTCGTCCTTGAAGTCTATGTGACATTAGATTCTGAGGGGATGGTTGCTCGAAGGAGATGAAATGGGAAGGGGAGTGTCGCAACAGAGCCCAGTACGCGTAAATTGCGTAGGCAAGCACACGTTGTGCCTGCGCATTGCGCCACCCGCTAACTCCAACTGGCCTTATCGATATCTGCAGTGGATAAGGACTCTTCTAGAGCGGCGCAGACAGCCAATTATCCCGAGGTAAATTATAACGCAGTAAAGGAAGTTGTCACACTGGCAGCGAAGGGTGCAGAACTTGAAGGTCCTAAGTAGCTGAGTCCTCGGCTTGAAATTCGTTGATTACGCGACCTCCGACTTGTCTGCTACATAACAGTGGAAGCAGTAGGAAGTCGGACTGATGCTGCCACAGCCACGAATTCGAAGACCCGCGGGTACTTTCCGTCTCCGTCCAAAAGACAGACTCGGAGTTGGTGACAAGTTGGTGAATGACCGCCGGAGATCACCGATTTGTTTACGAAAATTACGGAGCATTGGGCGCTGTTGTCTTTTGCAAGTCTTTTGTCTTTTCTTTCCTGCCAAAGCGCCGACACCGCTTGAGTCGCTGAACTCATCTATATCTCCGACCGAGACGGCTGACAGTCAACAAGTTCAAATTCCGCAGGACACCTAATCCGGCCCCACCACTCAACCCATCAGTTCAAAATATCGCGAGATTTGAATTACGCCCCCCCATCTGTTACAAGCCCTTCTAGAGTGCGACACATTGCGCAATTAATTCTACAATGCGCTGCACGAGTGCAAACCGATTTCGATCGTCTTGAAGATGTTTCTGGCCCCATCCGGTCGATGAGCAAATCGCGCGATCGACGGAATTCCTCCCCGAGCTCTTCGTATCGCAAGTGTTAATTATCGAGTGGCAAATTACATTGTGAAAGGTGGGTGGCGAATGAACAGCGGTCGATGCTCAGGTGCAATTACGTACTTACATCTAGGAGCTCCAGTTGGTGGCTGCGGCATGCACGCATCTATCTCCTGGTGGCGTCCAAAATTATTGGCCTTGACGCGACGCCGCCCAGGTCCCCGTCGCCGCGTAATCAAACGAGCCAGAAGGTGATATATGAGGTACGTTGCTGGGGATCTCGGAGAGAGATAGGGGCGAGGGACTGGAAGTGCTGGTGGGATCTAGTGGCCGAGGGTGTGTAGAGAGGGAAATTTAGAAGAGAGAGACTAGCGGACGCGACTCCAACCCCATTAAGTTGCGCCACATTTCTAATTCTGCCGGTGCCCCCGTTCTACAATTACTCGAATGAACATACACGCTGGTTACACACTATGCTGAATCAAACAGCCACAGACAAGTACAAGTTGAACTGTGGGAAAAACAAACAAAGGAGTGAGCTTCAGGCGGACGTGGACAGTCGAACGCGTCCGTTTTCTTCGCTTATTTTCAATCTGAATAAACGCAAGCCTTTTGGACAGCTTTTCGAGCTGAAAAAGAAAGAAAGAAAGAAAAAACACGCCACGCACATTGGTAACACGGACGCGGGGAGTCAAACCCCGTCTCTACAACACGCGAGGTACGAGCGTCGATTTGTTGTACGTAGCGCCTGTCTAGGAGAGACACCCCGTCTCATTGCTTAAAACTCCACAAGCTTTGAATGAAATGCAACAGTGCGCCATGCACCACGTCCGCTCCCTCCCTCCCTTCCAGCACTGAATACATCCCAGCTTTTAGACACTTCCCGAGCTAAAAATGCCAAAGTTGCCACCACCACCCGGACGGAGGGAGTCGAACCCCGTCTCACTGCTTGCAAGTTGCTCTCGTGTCATTAAATGCAGGAGTGCGCCGTGCGCCACTTCCGCTTCCTACGCCCTATTTATCCCTCAATACACGCAGGCTTTAAATCACTTCGCACAAAAAAAGTGATCATCACCACAGCACCACACCCGGACGCGGGGAGTCGAACCCCATCTAACTGCTTCAACTTTTATTACTCCCCCCATTAAATGCAACAGTGCACCATGCACCACGTCCGCTCCTCCCTCCTCTTTAACCCTCAATTTATGCAGGCTTCAAGCCACTTCTGAGCACAAAAAAACGATTCCGATCGATGGATGCGGACGCAGGGAGTCGAACCCCGTCTCACTGCTTTCAAGTTGCTCTCGTATCATTAAATGCAGGAGTGCACCGTGCACCACATCCGCTTCCTACGCCCTCAATACACGCAGGCTTCAAGTCACTTTGCACAAATAAGTGATCATCACCACAGCACCACACCCGGACGCGGGGAGTCGAACCCCGTCTAACTGCTTCAACTTTTATTACTCCCCCCATTGAATGCAACAGTGCACCATGCACCACGTCCGCTCCTCCCTCCTCTTTACCCCTCAATTTATGCAGGCTTCAAGCCACTTCTGAGCACAAAAAAAACGATTCCGATCGATGGACGCGGACGCGGGGAGTCGAACCCCGTCTCACTACTTTCAAATCTACACTGTCGCTTGATTAAATGCAGTAGTGCGCCGTGCACCACGTCCGCTTCCTCCCTCCATTCCTGAACTGAATCCATCCCATCTTTTAGACCCATCCCGAGCCAAAAAAAACCGAGGCCCTTCGCAACGCGGACGCGGGGAGTCGAACCCCGTCTCACTGCTTTCAACTCTCAAATCGCACCGCCACATTAAATGCAGTAGTGCACCGTACACCACTTCCGCTTCCTCCCTCCTATTTACCCCTCATTATCCGCAGGTTTTGAGGTATTCCTTAGCACAAAAAACGTTCGTCACCATTGCAACATGCGGACGCGGGGAGTCGAACCCCGTCCCACTGCTGTCAACTTTAGATCACCGTTATCAAATGCAGGAGTGCACCATACACCACATCCGCTTTCTCTCTCCTCTTTATCTCTCATTACCCGCAGGCTTTGAGCCACTTGGCACAAAAAATAACCATCAGCGTCGGGGGACGCGGACGCGGGGAGTCGAACCCCGTCTCACTGCTTTCAAACTTTCATGTGGCGTCCTACATAATTAATGCAGCAGTGCACCGTACACCACATCCGCTCATTCCTCCCATTTCGCGGCTGGATTCATGCCTTGATTTATAAGTAGCAGGAAATTCACCCGCATAAATGATAAAATCACCCCTCCTCTTCCTCAAAATCCCTCCAATCAATACCATGCCATCAAGCCCCCCAGATTCCTGCCCTTCCTCAGCTTCACAGATTCACCCCGAAGTCGAAAACGGAAATCGAACTCAAAAAATTCAACATGCCGTTATGACCATCAACGGTAATCAGCACAGCATCAATCCGCATCTCCTCTCCGTGATCTCCGCGCCCTTGACAACAACCTCTCTTGTTTCTCTTCGAGGCTCAAGCTCGTTTCCCGCTTGCTCCCTCGGCCCCCCCTCCCCCCCGCCCATCTCCGTCAAAAATTCCGTCCTCCCCCGCGCACAGTGACACCGACGATCGATCGAATCGAAGAACATCATACATTTTTCGTCTGGCTATCCTACACCTCTCTCTCTCTCTCTGCTGTACGTATGCTACCTATGCTATGCGATGCCGCCGCGCTACAATTTTTGAAGTGAAGTAATGTACAGAAACTCGATGAAGAACCGAACGGAAGAATGAAGACTGAAGATATGAAGACTGAGGATATGGTATGAAGACGAGAAGGAGGAGTAGGAGGAAGGAAGGAAGAGGAGTCCACCAAGACGTGTTGTCGTATCGTATCGGGTCCAAGGAGTGCGGGGCGAGGGGTAGGATGGGATGGGGATGCGCGAGAGCCGGGTGGTAGGAGGTGACGCAAAGACTCGAGGGAGGGAGGGGGATAGGTTTGGGTACCGCGCGCGCACTTCACTTCACTCCGTCAGGGGCCTAGAACCCCGCCCCCGCCCCCGCCCCCGCCCCCGCCCCCCACCAACCCCTCCACCAACGACACCCCCCACCGTCGCCGCCCGCGCCCGTCCCACCCTCCCTTGCATCCCCCCACCCCCACCCATCCCGCCCGCGCCCCCGCCCCCGCCCATCTCAAACCCCCCACAATCAATCCCCAGGCCCCCCGTCACGGCGCCCGCCACGTCCACGTCCATGTCCAGCCCTCCGCTCGACATCGTCCTCTCCAGCTCGCCGCTCGACATCGTCCGCATCGGCATCGGCATCGGGAGAGACACGGGGAGGGGCAGGGGCAGGGGCATCGGCACCGTAAACATCCCACCGGGCGAGGCACCCGCCCCCTCCCCCGCTGACGACGACGCCGACGAAGACGAAGACGACGAAGACACCGGCATGGGCATGGGCATGGGCATAGAGGGCGGCTCGACCCACCCGCGCAGGATACCCCTGCCGCCGCCGCCGCCTCCGCCGCTCGACGACGACGAAGACGCGCCGACCCCCCCGCCCTCCATCCCCATCCCCATCGACAGCAACGCCGGCGCGTCGTACCGCCCCTGCGCGTCGTACGGCTGCCGGCCCTGCTGCCGGCCCTGCGCCTCGTACCCCGCGCTCCGCGGCCTCGACCCGTACGCCCCCGCCCCCGCCACCGAATACTGCGCGCCATACTGCTGCTGCTGCTGCTGCTGCTGCCCGCCCTCAAAAGTCTGCGACTGCGACGGCGCCGGAGGGTCGAACTGCTCGAGCGCGTCGAACGCGTGCAGCGGCAGCGGCGGCGTCTCGTACCCCTGCGTCGACTGCGACTGCGACTGCGACTGCGGCGAGTATGCTGTTGCGTTCCCATTCGCGTTTGTGCTGCCTGGGTGCGAGTACGGCGGGTATGCGTTTGCGTTGCCCGGCGAGTACGTCCCGTGCGGCGAGTACGCGGTCCCAGCGAGCGACATGGAGAGCGAGTGCAGGTGCGCGGTGGTGTTTTGCGCGTGGGAATGGGGGTGGGTGTTTTGGGAGTGGGAATGGGCGTGGGCGTTGGAGTGGGCGTGGTGCGGCGAGTAGGGCGCGCGGAAGAGGGGGAAGGAGCCGGAGACGCCTGAGGGCGGGCTGCAGAAGATGTCAGTACGTGTTTTGCGTGTATGAAGAGAGGAGACGACGATAATGATAATGATGAAACAGGACAGATGGGCGGCATAAGCACGAGCGGGGCGTACGAGGACAGCCGCGAGGGGACGCCCGAGCCATTGCTCGCGGCGCACGACGGACGCGCGGTGGGAAGAGCCCCCGCCCCCCGATGCCCCGATGCACCGATGCCCCGACCAAGAACCAAGAAACGCGCGGCGGGCAGGGCGCGCGCGGGACGAACGCCCGTCAGAGCGGGGCAGCACGGCGAGCACGGGGCGCTGACGCCTGAGCTCGACACCCGGCGCCCGAGTCCCCGCACGAAACAGCGCGAGCGCGCCACGGCTGCGTGTCCGAGGACGCCGCCGACGCGCACGCAGAGACATCGCCCGAGGCGCGCGCAGAAGGGGCAGGTGCAGCCGCGACGACCAGCGCGGTACGTCGACTCGAAGACATCGGCGGCAAAAAAACAGCTGCGTCTTCGAAGACGCTTAGAGACATCGCCCGAGGAGCGCGCAGAAGACAGGGCAGGCGCAGCGTCGACGCGAACACCCGCGCCAAAACAAAACGACCCCAGCAGCGACACGCCGGACGCAAAGCAACGAAAGACAAGAAAAAAAGAAGAAAACACCAGCACGAAAAGACTCACTTGGACCCGCCAAAGCTGCTCCTGCTCCGCTCGCTCCCGCTGCCGCTGCCGCTGCCGCTCTCGCTCGCGGAGCTTGGGCGGCTCGAGAGGCTGCCCGCGCTCGTGCGGCGCATGATGAGGTCCGCGCCGGTGCTCGTGCGGCGCAGGCCGTGCGTGCTCAGCGGGTGCGGGTGCGGGCGGGCGTGGGGGAGGGCGTCCAGCATGCGCCCGTGGTCGTCGTAGTCGTACGCGTCGAGCGCGTAGCCCGCCTCGAGGTGGTGGAAGCCGCCGCCGCCGCCCATGCCCATCGGCGGCTTGCGGGCCGCGGGCGGCGACGGCACGTACCCGTACCCGTCGTAGCCCTCGCTCGCATAGTTTTCGTAGCTCCCGCGGTGCGAGTCCGCGTCTGGCGCGTCGTCGTGGTATGGCGGAATTGGAGTTGGCGCGGGGGTGTGCGCGAGGAGCGCGAGGTCGAGGGACGCGGGGAGGGAGAGGCGCTTGGGGTTGGTGGGGACGGGCGCGGGGAGCGCGAGCGCGAGGGGGCGCGTGGACGCGAGGGGCGGGAGCGCGGGCGTCGACGCGAGGGTGGTGTTGCGCCGGCGGCGCGGCTTGAGCAGGGAGGCGGGGAGCGCGGGGGGGAGGGCGGCGTAGGGAGAGGGCGCGGGCGAGTTGGAGTTGGAGTGCGGGTGCGGGTGGGAGTGGGAGTGGGAGGCGGCGCGGGAGCGCGAGCGCGGGGCCTTGTTGGGCCCGCGGACGCGGCCCTCCTTGGCGTATTCGCAGGCAAGGCCGCGCGCAAGGCAGCGTGCGCAGGAGGGGTGGTCGCCGGAGCACTGCAACCCAGTTCAGCCCAGTCGACAAGGGGAGGAGACGGAACCGACCTTTGCCTTGCGGGTGCGGCACTTGTCGCAGGCCTGGGCGGTGCGGAGGCGGGGGTGCTCGGGCGTGCGGTAGAAGATGCCGGTCGTGGGGTCGAGGCTGCCCGCGAGGGTGATGCGCGGCCCGGCGGCGAGGCCATGGGCGTGGAGGAGGGCGGCGGGCGACGGGGCGTGAGGCTCGTACCACGGCGGCGGCAGCGCGTCGAGCATGAGGTGCTTCTGGGCGTAAAAGTCCATCTCGCCGCTGTACATGTCGTCCATTCTTGGGGATAGTGTGTAGTCTGTGCTAGGTTCCAGCTCGCTCGTCGGGGGCGCTTTTTAATATCTTGCAGGCGAGACACTGCTGCTTCCCGATCGGGGTAGAAAGGAGCCTAATTGCATATCTTCAAATCTCAGAATCGCACCTTTGATCCGCGGCACCTACCGATCGCGATCTCGCCAGCCAGCACCCCGGCCACCCACTCCGTAATCAACTCCCCGGCGAGCGACCAAACGCACCGACCCGAGCAGCGGCGCTTCCCCGCCGTGCCTTCCCCTGCCTGTCGCGCTTCTCGCCGGTCCTGGTTGCATGCATGACATTTACCTCCAGAAGCTTAAAACTCTCTTCCCCGAACCACGAATCGCGCGCGGGAGAGCCTAGGTCGCCGGCGAGGATCCCGCTTATGGCATCCAACTTGACGAACGATCTTGGCACCGGACGCACATTCAACAATATTCATGACGCATTCGATTTCGTGAAGAATGCAACGCATTTGTGGCATTCTGGAGTCGACTGTAGACGTCAAGACGATCGCCAGCATTCCTGCCCATCAGTGTCTGTCTCTCGCTCCGAGTCCGAGCCCCATCCCCTGAGTCACTTTCGCTCGCCGACGTCGACAGCCCGCCCGATCGTAACTATCGCTCTCGGTCTGGCCCGCGGTCTCGAGCGGTCTCGGGCTGGACACTTCGGGCTTGGGGCGCAGGCGGTGCGGTGCCTGCGTCCTTCAGTTGCTGCGTCAGTTTCATTCGAGTGCGAACGCAGCCACGCGACGCCCGGAGTCCTCGCCGTAATCCATCGCGTCCTCCGCGTGCTCTGGTTCCTCCCATTCGCGTTCAGTGCTCACCTCTTACACGCCGATCTGCACTCGCGACTCAACGATAAGTCCCACGCCCGAATCGCGCCCGCCATGCGCCACCCACCGTAACCGCACCCGTAATAGAACAGAACCGGCCCACCAAATGCACAACGCACAATCCATTCATTCGTCCAGCAACAACAACGCACTGAATTCAGTCGCGAGTCGCGCGAGATCCAATCGACGGAGACGCCGTCCGTTCTGCCCCTCATTCTAGTCTTCTAGAACACCGTGACGTCGACGGCGATTATAATGTATAAGCAGTAGTAGCTGTGACGCCGCGGAGCCGGAGCCGAGCGCATGCATCACTTCACTCAGCTGTATACAATTCCTAACTCAACTGCATACAATCCCCCCCCGACGGCCGAAAGCGCGCGTTTAGAAAGCCTGCACGCCAGTGTATCGAGGGATAAAGGGGAGGGAGGAAGCGGACGTGGTGCGCGGTGCACTACTGCATTCAATTCCGTCGGAAGAAAAAGTGAAGCAGTAAGACGTGGTTCGACTCCCCGCGTCCGCCTGTCGCCGTTGTCCTTTTTCTCACGGACGAGGGGGAGATAAATCTTGCATATAAGGAGGGATGAGAGAGAGGGAATAAGCGGACGTGGTGCGCGGCGCACGGCTGCAGTAAATTCCAAGGGAAAAGCGCTGGAGCAGTTGAAGGGGTTCGACTCCCCGCGTCCGCCTCCAAGATCTCACTCATTTTTTTAGTCCGAAGGGTGTCGAAAACTCGCGGGGTTTATGGACTCATGAGGAGATAAAAGTGAGGTAGGGAGCGGACGTGGTGCGCGGCGCACTGCTGCATTTAATGACGAGGGAAGCGATATTGAGGCAGTTGAAGGGGTTCGACTCCCCGCGTCCGCCTTCAAGATCTCGCTCTTTTTTTTATTCCGACGGCTGTATAAAGCGTGCATATAGGGAGGGCTGGGAGATAGATGAGAAGCGGACGTGGTGTACGGTGCACAGCTGCACTGAATGCTGCGGTGGACAAAAAAGCTTGCAGCAGCAAGGCGGGGTTCGACTCCCCGCGTCCGCGTCGGCCTATTCCAGTCCTGATTTTTATTCCGAAGGCGGGCGAAAGTGGATTTATGGAGCGATAAGAGGAAGGGAGGGAGCGGACGTGGTGCGCGGTGCACTACTGTATGGAAATAATGTGGGAAGAAAAGTTGAAGCAGTAAGACGGGGTTCGACTCCCCGCGTCCGCCTGTCCTTCCACCATCCTTTTTTTTCAGAAGGCTGGGGATATCGTCTGCTTATGAAGGGATGAAGGAGAGGGAGGAAGCGGATGTGGTGCGTGGCGCACTGCTGCATTTCATAGCAAATCTTCAAGAGAGGAATATAGCAGCGAGACGGGGTTCGCCTCCCCGCGTCCGCCCTATCCCCCCCTTCCAATTTTTTTTTCTCGGGCTGTCGAAAGCCTGCATATATTAAGGGACAAAAACGAGGTAGAAAGCGGACGTGGTGTACGGCGCACTACTGCAATCGTTATTTGTGCGACAAAGGTGAAGCAGTTAACCGGGGTTTGACTCCCCGCGTCCGCCTGTCTCCATCCCCCACCCGTTTTTCTCAGAAGGCTGTAGACAGTGTGCATTTATGGAGTAATAAGAGAGAGGGAGGAAGCGGATGTGGTGCACGGTGCACTCCTTCAATCGTTATTTGTGCCACAAAGGTGCAGCAGTTAAGTGGGGTTCGACTCCCCGCGTCCGCATAGCATTAACAACCCAGTCCTCGGATTTTTTTTATTCCCATGAGAAGGGTTGGAAAAGCTCCCATGTATTTAGGGTCGAGACGATGGGAATAAGCGGACGTGGTGCGCGGCGCACCGCTGCAATGATTGCGTTGTCTACTTACAAGGATTGGAGCAGCAAGCCGGGGTTCGACTCCCCGCGTCCGCCTCATCATTTCTCCCTCCCATCTTTTTTCTCAGAAGGCGGGTGAAAGCTCGTTTATGGAGAGGTAGGAGGGACATAGTAAACGGACGTGGTGCGCAGTGCACCGCTGCATTCAATTCAATGGGAAAAAAGTGAAGCAGCAAGACGGGGTTCGACTCCCCGCGTCTGCCTTCATAGATCCTTTCTCCTTTTTTTCTCAAGGCTGTCGAAAGCCTGCATATATTAAGGGATGAAAGAGAGAGAGGAAGCGGACGTGGTGCGCGGTGCACTGCTGCATTTAATGAAAGAGGGGATGAGACATATGAAGCAGTGAGACGGGGTTCGACTGCCCGCGTCCGCCTGAAGGCCCTGAACCACCTATGGACTGCTTGTGTTTTTGCAGAGTGCCTGGAAGTCTTGCATGTATCAAGAAGTAAAACAGAGGTAGGAAGCGGACATTGTGTACGGTGCACCGCTGCATTCAATTCAATGGGAAAAAAGTGAAGCAGCAAGACGGGGTTCGACTCCCCGCGTCTGCCTTCATCATTGAACTTCATGGATCCTTTCTCCTTTTTTTCTCAAGGCTGTCGAAAGCCTGCATATATTAAGGGATGAAAGAGAGAGAGGAAGCGGACGTGGTGCGCGGTGCACTGCTGCATTTAATGAAAGAGGGGATGAGACATATGAAGCAGTGAGACGGGGTTCGACTGCCCGCGTCCGCCTGAAGGCCCTGAACCACCTATGGACTGCTTGTGTTTTTGCAGAGTGCCTGGAAGTCTTGCATGTATCAAGAAGTAAAACAGAGGTAGGAAGCGGACATTGTGTACGGTGTACCGCTGCATTCAATTCAATAGGAACGTAAACAAAGTGAAGCAGCAAGATGAGGTTCGACCCCCGCGTCCGCATACAAAAGGCTCGTCGGATTTTTTCTTGTTTTGGAAAAATTCCCATGTGTTTAGGGTTGAGAAAGTGGTAAGAAGCGGATGTGGTGCGCGGCCCACTACTGCGTTGATGGTGTGGTGGGAAAAGTTGAAGCAGTCAAACAGGGTTCGCCTCCCCGCGTCCGCTTGCACCTCATCTGTAATGCTTGTGTTTTTGCCGAGCGCCTGGAAGTCCGGTGTATGTTGAGGGTTAAAAGATACATAAGAAGCGGACGTTGTGTACGGTGCACTGCTGTATTGAATAATTTGGGAGGGTGTTTGTTTAGTGAGCACTTGAGCAGTCAAACGGGGTTCGACTCCCTGCGTCCGCCTATCTCTTCCCCACTCTTTTTCTCAGCGGGGTGGAGACAGTGTGCGTTTATGGAGTAATAAGAGAGAGAGAGGGAGCGGATGTGGTGCACGGTGCACTGCTGCAATCATTATTTGTGCGACAAAGGTGCAGCAGTTAAGCGGGGTTCGACTCCCCGCATCCGCCTGTCTCCATCCCCCACCCGTTTTTCTCAGAAGGCTGTAGACAGTGTGCATTTATGGAGTAATAAGAGAGAGGGAGGAAGCGGATGTGGTGCACGGTGCACTACTTCAATCGTTATTTGTGCCACAAAGGTGCAGCAGTTAAGTGGGGTTGGACTCCCCGCGTCCGCATAGCATTAACAACCCAGTCCTCGGATTTTTTTTATTCCCATGAGAAGGGTTGGAAAAGCTCCCATGTATTTAGGGTCGAGACGATGGGAATAAGCGGACGTGGTGCGCGGCGCACCGCTGCAATGATTGCGTTGTCTACTTACAAGGATTGGAGCAGCAAGCCGGGGTTCGACTCCCCGCGTCCGCCTCATCATTTCTCCCTCCCATCTTTTTTCTCAGAAGGCGGGTGAAAGCTCGTTTATGGAGAGGTAGGAGGGACGTAGTATACGGACGTGGTGCGCAGTGCACCGCTGCATTCAATTCAATGGGAACAAAGTGAAGCAGCAAGATGGGGTTCGATTCCCCGCGTCCGCCTTCATAGATCCTTTCTCCTTTTTTTCTCAAGGCTGTCGAAAGCCTGCATATATTAAGGGATGAAAGAGAGAGAGGAAGCGGACGTGGTGCGCGGTGCACTATTGCATTTCATAGCAGATCGTGGTGAGGAATATAGCAGCGAGACGGGGTTCGACTCCCCGTGTCCGTGTCCGCCCTATCCATCCCCAATTCTTTTCCTCGTGCTGTAGAAATTTTGTGTTTATGAAGGGATGAGAGGGAAGTAGGAAGCGGAAATGGTGCGCGGCGCACTACTGCATTTAATGAGGCGAAGAAATTATGGAGATTTAAGCAGTCAAACGGGGTTCGACTCCCCGCGTCCGCCTGTCTCCATCCCCCACCCCTTTTTCCTCGTCAAGGCAGTAGAAATCTTGTATCTATGAAGGGATGAGAGAGAGGTAGGAAGCCCACGTGGTGTACGGTGCACTGCTGCAATCAAAGAAAGAGGAAATGAGACATACGAAGCAGTAAGACGGGGTTCGACTCCCCGCGTCCGCGTCGGCCTGTTCCAGCCCTTATTTTTGATTCCGATGGCGGGCGAAAGTGGGTTTATGGAGGTATAAGAGAGAGGGAGGAAGCGGACGTGGTGCGCGGCGCACTGCTGCATTTTATTGCAAGGCACCTAGCAAAGGCTGAGCAGTCAAACGGGGTTCGACTCCCCGCGTCCGCCCTATCCATCCCCAATTTTTTTCCTCGCGCTGTAGAAATTTTGTGTTTATGGAGCGATAGGAGGGGGGAGGGAGCTTGCTTTTGTCACTGACGAGAGGGAGGTAAATCTTGCATATAAGGAGGGATGAGAGGGAGGGAGGAAGCGGACGTGGTGTACGGTGCACTGCTGCATCGAATGAATGGTGTGGGGAGAAAAGTTGAAGTAGTAAGACGGGGTTCGACTCCCCGCGTCCGCCTGTCCTTAAACCATCCTTTTTTTTCAGAAGGCTGCGGATATCGTCTGCTTATGAAGGGATGAAAGAGAGGGAGGAAGCGGATGTGGTGCGTGGCGCACTACTGCATTGCATAACACGGCATTGTAAAAAAGTTGAAGCAGCAAGCCGGGGTTCGACTCCCCGCGTCCGCCTGTCCTTCCACCATCCTTTTTTTTTAGAAGGCTGCGGATATCGTCTGCTTATGAAGGGATGAAAGAAAGGGAGGAAACGGATGTGGTGCGTGGCGCACTACTGCATTTCATAGCAGGATCTTCAAGAGAGGAATATAGCAGTGAGACGGGGTTCGACTCCCCGCGTCTGCCTTCATCATTGAACTTCATGGATCCTTTCTCCTTTTTTTCTGAAGGCTGTCGAAAGCCTGCATATATTAAGGGACAAAAGAGTGGTAGGAAGCGGACGTGCTGCGCGGTGCACTGCTGCATCTCATAACAGATCTTCATGAGAGGAATATAGCAGCGAGCCGAGGCTCGACTCCCCGCGTCCACCTGTCTCCATCCCCCACCCCTTTTTCCCCCTCAAGGCAGTAGAAATCTTGTATCTATGAAGGGAAAAAAGAGAGGTAGGATTCATAGGGCTGCCACCCGCGCCCGTGACGGCAACGGCCGTCGATTCGACGGGTCTGCCACAGGCACGGGCCGTGTCTGCACGGCCCGTTGAGACCAGTTCAAGATGTCTGACGGGACGGGACGGTCAACGGCACGGCCGTTAGCGGTACCACGGTTATTGACGGCCCACAAAAAATGCATTTAAGTGATTTCCATGATAGTGCAGGTCCTCAAACAGCACTGGGATATATATATGGGTGGTCTAAGCAGTTATAAGCCAAATAGCGTGGTCTGTCGCGAAAAACAGACATTCTCTGAGTTTTCTTGCCGGCCAAAGAATTGCCTGAGAGCATAAACAGAATTATGGAAGATCTGTTAGTGCCATGAAGCAATGCAGCCATGGCGAGCAGATGATATTTTCCCACGAAATCCAGGTGCACAAGGTGGATTAATGTTCAGCAATTTCAGAACAGCGTCGATCAAGCGGCGATAACGATCGCGAGCAGGCCATAAAATGATTAGCCGGCTCAAGTGCGTAGCAAAGCAAGTAGCAGAACAAGTGTTTGGGTAGAAAATGGTGCATGGATGTGTGTCCAGCGGTGCCCACTAACAGGTACAATGGTGAGTGAGATCAAAAGGGAGATGGACAAACAACGATCGGCGACGGCGACACAATGAATTCACTGATGGCCGTGATAAGATATGGCTCGCGGAGGTAGACGGCTGCTTCCGGCTGCTTCCGGATCTATTTAATTCCTCTTTTTGGCACCCGTGGGGACCCGTCGACACGGCCGCGACGGCCGTTTTTCCACGGGTGACCACGGGTCCTACCCGTGCCGTGGCCATGCCGTCTTGGTCGACGAAAAATGGCCGACGGAACGGGCACAGCACCCGTCGAACGGGTGCCGTCGACCCGTGGCGACGGCAACGGGCGGCAGCCCTAGGTAGGAAGCGGACGTGGTGCACGGTGCACTACTGCATTCAATTCCATGGGAGGGAGTAGAGTGAACAGTAGGACGGGGTTCGACTCCCCGCGTCCGCCTGCCAGACCAGATCTGTCATGCTTTTGTTTTTGCAGAGCACCTGGAAGTGTGGCGTATATTGAGAAGTACACCAGAGGTAGACAGCGGACGTGGTGCGCGGCGCACCGCTGCAATGATTATTTGTCTAAGCAGAACGTGAAGCAGCAAGACGGGGTTCGACTCCCCGCGTCCGCATGCGGCAACTTGAATTTCCCTTTTTGATTCTGATGGCGGTCAAAAACCTGCATGTATCGAGGAATAACAGAGAGGTGAGAAGCGGACGTCGTGTACGGTGCACCACTGCATTTAATGTAAAAAGAGGGAGAAAGTTGAAGCAGCAAGACGGGGTTCGACTCCCGCGTCCGCATGATCCATTTCCAGATATTTTTGGTCCGAGACTGTTGAAAGCGTGCGTTTATGGAGACACAGAAGGGAGGTGGGGAGCGGACGTGGTGTATGGCGTACTACTGCAGTTATTATTAATTGCGACAAGAGCTAAAGCAGTTAACCGGGATTCGACGAGTCCCCACGTCTGCCTGTCTCCATCCCCCACCCGTTTTTTCTCAGATGGCTGTCGAAAGCTTGCATGTAGGGAGGAATAAAAGAGAGGTAGGAAGCGGACGTTGTGTACGGCGCACTGCTGCATTTGATAGAATTTGAAAGCGGTGAAAGCAGCAAGATGGGGTTCGACTCCCCGCGTCCGCCTATCTCCCTCCCCCCCATTTTCTCTCAGAAGGCTGGATAAAGCCGGCGCACTGCTGCATTTAATGAATAGGCGAGGAAGGATAGAGCAGTTGAAGGGGTTCGACTCCCCGCTTCCGCATTCCCGTTATCCAGTTGCTGGCCATTTGGTGCCGGGGACTCTTTCCACGAAGTGGAGAATGGAGGCAAGTTTGGGGGATTTCGGCGTGGTGGCAATGGCGTCATGGATCAGCGGACGGATGGGGTGGGAGGCAGGGAGCGTCAGATAAAAGGCGACCGTGTTCAACGCGTCGTGCTCGATGCGTAGTTGAGCCGGCAGCAGCGCCGCTTCCTTCTCCAGGACAGCTAGCGCTGCTGTGCGGAAGGCCCCGGTGATGACCGCCTTGTTGACTCTGTCCAGCAGTTTAAACACATCTGTGGGGAGCGGGAGGAATGAAGATACACCGTAATCAGCGCAGGGAAGGACGGTAGAGCGCGTGAGATCACGAATAAGCAGCGGTCGGAGGCCCCACGAATTATGCATGATCGCCATGGAGGCGTTCAGTGCACGGGTCGCAATTGACTCGTATAAGCCGTCGCTGCCAAGGTATTTAGAAGCAATCAGGACATCAGACTGGTTGCTGCCAAGATTCGTCCAAGCGATCAAAACGTCAAAGAAAATATTGAAGTCAAGCAAGAGAGAGGGAGGAAATGGAGGGAGAGCAGATAACATGGATGAACTATAACGAAACAGAGGTTAAGAATACGCTGAGAAGGCAAAAAAGCCAGAAGGAGAGTACAGCGAAGGAAGGAAAAAAACAGAGCGACATCAATCAATGATGGGTTCTATATTTAACTACTACAAAAGGTAAGTGTATGGTCGAAAAACTCTCAGGGTTTATTCCCTTAATCAGGAAAACGTCCAACACGAGTCAATCACGTGGATAATTCTATTCAGAAGCCCGGTTGCAGGCAGAAACCCCCTCTTATATAGAACCCGGTTGTTAATTATTTTTTTGAGGGAGGGTTTCTCGCTTAGCATCGCCGGCCATCAATTACCCGGCTGCATGTGCCGAGCCCTGCCGAGATTTCGCCGGCCTTGCCGCCTATATTTTTGGTCCGACTCAGCCCACAGGGGATTGTCTCTGAGGGTCCATTTCGTAATATTAGTGCCCTAATAGGCAGAGATCTTGGTCAGTCAAGTGAAACAAAGCAATGTAAAGTACAGTTGCAATTTCTTGCAAAATTCAGTTCAAGTCTAGATTCAAGTCTAGAGATAGTACAGCCACTCAGTAATAGGAGCACCACTTCACAGGCTCACGACAAGTCGCCTGTGCCCATCGCCTCAGCAGAGTCCACTGCCACCAGACTGATGAACTTCTACCCTGTCTCGTCAGATTTAACCGGCCTGCAGCTACAAGTCAACATCAATATTGTTTTTGCTGGTACCTTAGCATGTACTGCAGTACTGAATTACAGATGTGATGGCTGCCAGTGAGACAGATAGACCGATGCACAGTTTGCCAATATTCTCTTGTGAACTCAGTGGAATTGAATTTTGGCCGAGTTGCCGGAGTTGCCGGAGCCGGGGCCCCCGGCACTGTCAAAAGTTGAAAACCGAGTTTCTGTATAGACTCTATTTTTAGACAGGGGGTTTGCGCCTGCAACCGGGTTTCTGAATAGAATTATCCCAATCACGTCATAGACCCAAAAACCAGATTTCTCGCAGTGGAATGGATGACTAAGAACGAGTTTAAAAATAAATTTTTAAGACTCGTAATTCCCGGCCGGCGGCCGCAAAAACTTTACGTTCATCCGCTACAGACTCTGCAATGGGTCAATTGCCTCCTGCTATAAAATGGCCACGGATATATCTTACTCCATCGGACAATGTTTCTGCGGCTATCCTCTTTGTTGACACTCTCCCTTGTCGCCTGCAAGGTTGTCGCAGACACCGCGCAGTATCTTGATGACCAGGACCTTGACCCAACATGTCCTGAAGGTTACTACCCTGGCGTCACAGTCGACGAGGCGATGTATACCGTGCCGATAGATGTGCTGCACGGTGTCATCGGCTCGTTCTTCCATGCCCAGTGGTATGTGAGTAACATTATTCTCATCTCCTCTGAACGCGTCTCTGAGCACCGCGTCACGTAGACCATCACCAACACCACCAACGTGGGGAAGGACAACACTGTTGGATCCACGCGTGAAGGTCACGATGTCGATGGCAACTACTTCAAGGAGCGCCTCGTCCGCGTCTTCCAAACTCCATCGGAGAAAATGATCGCCTGGAAATCCCAGGTTAGTCTCGTAAACCAGACGTGATAACGCACGATGAGAAGGCACTCGTTCTCATGTACTTGTATAAAATCCCAGGTCAACAATTCGGTCCGCAACCCCAGTGGTAACGAGACCGCTGTCCAGACGACATATACCGAGGAGCACAGGCTGATGAGCATCTGTGGTGGCACGGCGACGTTGGTTAACATGTGGAACGTCCAATGCGCGAATGATCTTGTGAACGATTGGGACGAGTGGTACAGAATGCGAGGTCAGGCTCTCGACGCAGTTATCACCAAACTGGGTGCGAAGCAGTTTAAAGGAACTTGTCCGGGTAAGCTCCTCGACGCCCTCATGGATGTGCTATAAACTAATCTGCGCACTGTCCTAGCTCCCCTTCCTAAAAGGAAATCCAACTCGAAATGAGTGA